CGCCTTTAGTAATCCCAGCTACTCGGGAGGCTGAGGCAGGAGACTCGCTTGAACCCGGGAGGCGGAGGCTTCAGTGAGCTGAGATTGCGCCATTGCATTCCCGCCTAAGTAACAGAGCGAGGCTCTGTCTCAAAAATAAAATAAAATCAAGATGCTAGCACCCCAAGGGGAAGTGGACAGACAGGCTGATACAGCGCCCACCCATGCCCACCGTTCTCCAAGACTGTTTTGTTCTGAAGAGGAAACACCTGAGCTTCCTGGCTCATGCCCCTCTGCCCCTGCCTGGCTCATGCCCCTCTGCCCCTGCCTGGCTGACTTGAGCCCCGTTCTCCAAAGAGCTGTGGTTACTCACCCACGTGTCTCCAGCATGTCCTCCCAGGTGTGAGGCTTGGGCCTGAGTGGATGTGGAGCGGCACCAGCCTCTGCAGCCTTTTGTCTGGTCTTCCAGAGCAGTGGCCCTCCTGAAAAGGGAAAGCGTGCTTGTTCTCCGTGGAGCCCCTGGGGGCTCCTAGTGATTGACTTCCTTTCTGAGTGCACAGGAAGCAGCTGTTCAGTAATCCATTGTGACGTTTGGCCAGACACCGACAGAGCTTGTCTCCCTGCGACCCCCTTGTCCAAATTCAGGGAGGACCTTTCCCCTCTGTCACCAGGAGGGATGTGATTGTTGGGAGTTCCTTGCATTAGTTCTCTCCAGGCCTGAAGATACGATCACATCTAGAGCTGCCAGCGGCCTCTCACCACTCCTTCTCTTTGGCTTCTTCATAAGGATATTGATTTTTCCTCCATTTTTAGAATCCATCTCCTTGAGGGAGGAGACAGAAACTCCATCCTTCTTCATAGAACCATTTCAAAAAGGAACAGGGATTTGGGATGAGGCCCAGCTGGCCTAGGAGAGGCCGCCTGGCTGGGCTGGACACTGGCTCTGGCCTGGCCTTGTCACTGACCCTTGCCTGGGTCCTCAGGGCCAGGAGGAGAAGGGCCGTTTCTTTTCAGATCCCAGAACACTCTTTGGCTCCTAGTCATGTGTCAGGATGGGAGGGGCGGGCTTGGAACTCCCATGATTCACTTCAATGTTGCATTTTCTTTTTTTTTTTTTTTTGAGACGGAGTCTGGCTCTGTCACCCAGGCTGGAGTGCAGTGGCCGGATCTCAGCTCACTGCAAGCTCCGCCTCCCGGGTTTGCGCCATTCTCCTGCCTCAGCCTCCCGAGTAGCTGGGACTACAGGCGCCCGCCACCTCGCCCGGCTAGTTTTTTGTATTTTTGGTAGAGACGGGGTTTCACTCTCTTAGCCAGGATGGTCTCGATCTCCTGACCTCGTGATCCGCCCGTCTCGGCCTCCCAAAGTGCTGGGATTACAGGCTTGAGCCACCGCGCCCGGCCGAATGTTGCATTTTTCTAGATACTATGACAGCCAGTTCTCAGGCCATCATTAAAAAGAAAGAGGGTGAAATCCCACACCTGTGGGTACCCACACCTGCGGGTACCCACCAGCCGCAGCCCTCTGGCTGGAGATGTATCTTGTGGCTCAGCTCCTGTTTGTGTTCTGATTGCAGTGCCATCAGGGGGACGTGTGTCCACTGACCCACAGAGGCAGGGATAGCTCGGGAACGTGCTAGGAGAAGAGGGGCAGGTGGGAATAGGCCTCATCTCCCGAGTCATCCCCGAGCAGGCTGAGCCAAGAGTGGCTGACTGAGCATTGGCTGGGCAGAACGTTCCATTTGCCGTGTGTGAGGTTCACCCTTGGCCAAGTTGCGTCACTTGTCCTGGTTTTCCAGATGTGGAGGTGGTGGCGCAGGCTGGGGTGAGGTCCCTAGACGTCAGAGCGTGGTGCACCTTATGTAAGATCCTCTGATGGCTCCCTTCTGCAACAGGCTCGGTGTGGTATGGTGGGAAGCCAAGGCCCTGGAGCCCAGACGTGATTACCTGGCCACTCTCACTTTCGGGGGACACATGCAACAGCCTCCTCGTGGCTCCGCTCTCGCCCCTAGAGTGTATTCTCTCCCTGCTGTTCCTGAAGCGCAGACCTCATCACACACACAGCCTCCCACTTGGGAGCTTTAAAGGCCCCCAGTGCTCCCGGGATCAAGGTTATAGCTTGGCTTGCAAGAGTGAGCGCAGGTGGCCCCGGCCCGTTGTCTGGCTTCCTCCCTGTCTACGCGCTGATCCCCACAGTCCTACACCCCAGCCACTCAGCGCAGGCTGTTCCCTTGGCCTGGAACACCGGCCCTTGGCCCCGCTATACCCCACTTCTCCTGACTCCTGGCCAGCTGCTGCTGAGGCTGTGAAGGTTCTAGACAGCTCAGCCCCCAAAATTCCCCCAACCCTCTAGGATGAGCTGAGGCCCCATCTGGGTTCCCCAGGCCTTTGTGCCCATCCTGCCATTAGCCCACATCATAGGGTGGCATTGTTTCTCCTGGTTCATCTGTGTCCCCACTAAGTGAGTGCCATGCCCCATGAAGGCTGGGACGGTTGTCTTGTTCATGGCTGTCTCCTCAGCGCACAGGACAGGGCTGGCCTGGTGCCCTGTAAGTCAGTTGCTGGTGGACAGATGCTTGGAGGATGTGTGACTTGGGGCAGGGCACCTCCTGAGCCTTGATCTCCCCCTCTGCACTGGGGTCATGGTGTCAAGTGCAGAGGGAGGGGAGGGAAGGGAAGCAGGGAGCACGGGAAGGGGTCTGCAAAGGTGTCTGGCAGTTGGGGAGCTGTCATTGGCCACAGTCTGGAGCCCATATCCCTGCACTGACACCCAGCTTTCAGCTGTAGCCAGAACTGGGTCTCAGCCAGAGTGGGCAGAGGTAGCCAGGAGATGAGACAGTGCAGAGAGCTGGGGGACAGGGTCGGGGTGGTGAGAAGGTCCCCTCCCTCTGTCCCCCTTGGCCCTGCATCCTTGCTCATCTCCACCAGCTCCAACCAGGAACAGCAGCCCAGGAGCCCTCTCCTTCCTCTGGTGCAGGCCACGGTCCTTGCAGCCTGGACTCTGCACGAGAATCACCTGGGAGCTGTGAAATGTCCCACCCCCAGGCCATGCCCCAGACTAGTGACATCCGACTCCCTGGTGTGGGCCCTGGGCATCAGTATTTCATAAAACTCCCAGGAGATTCCAGCGCATGGCCAAGTTTGAGAGCCGTCATTCCGGGTGGTTGTTGGTAACCTGGTTTTTCCTGGAGACGCTTGGCAGCCTGCAGGAGCCCGCCAGCCAGCGCGCAGTGAGCGGCTTAATGGGAAATCTCCCCTTCCCCGCCTCCCTCCACAAAAATCCTCACCAGAAATGAGGAAGCACTTCTTAAAATGGTTTTGTTTTTTGAAAGAGTTGCACATGCATATGGCAGGAACTCCAGGCAGCACAGATGGGTACACAGTGAAAGAAAAATCAGTCCTGGCCAGGCGCGGTGGCTCACACCTGTCATCCTAGCACTTTGGGAGGCTGAGGCGGGCGAGCGTCTCACGTGGAGCCAGCAGCATTTGAGCCTCAGCCTGGAACATGGCGAGAACCTCCATCTCCTACTCTAAAAAAAAAAAAAAAAAAAAAAAAGCCCGCGGGCATAAGGTGGCGGCACCGCCTATAATCCCCAGCTAACTTGGGAGATGCGAGGCAGGAGAATCGCTTGAACCCAGGAGGACGACAGGTTGCAGTGAGCCCAAGTGCCGCACCACTAGGCTAATACCGAGCTGGTGCACAGCAAGAACCTCTGTCTCAAAAAAAAAAACACAAAAAAATCATGTCACCAACCACTAGCCACTGTACCCCAGCTCTGGGATGGCCCTGCAGAGCTGTCACGCGTGTCCGGATACAGGGGTCCCTTTGTCCACATGTCTGGCCCTTCTCACCTTGCTTTTTTAGTCCTTTCTCTGGCCAGAACATATTGATCGGCCTGTGGCTCTCTTTTTCTTTTTTTTCCCCCCGAGAATGTCTCACTCTGTTTTGCCCAGGTGGAGCTGCAAGTAGACAATCTTGGCTCACGCCGCGCCCGAG